TGAGACTGCTGTGTATCCCGCTTCCCATGATGGATCGTTCTCTCCCTTTTTTATTTTATCAGTTAGTATTAGCAGACACTAGTCTTGTTTATGTGATCCCTTTGACTCTTAGACCTATCATTATGGTCAATTGTGAACTGAATTGATCACTTTGACTAGTGAGATGGCATTGGTACATGCCACCTTGATGGAATTGAATTGGAGTCCCCTGGCACATTTCTAACTCTACCATTTGGGGCCATTAAAGTCTTTTACTAGAGATTTTGCTTTGCTTTGGAAATTATGGAATTTGAACTCAGTATTAAAAGAAAGAAGTGGTTCATCCCTCTGAAAAAAGGAAGACAAACCAATGAGAAAAATGCATCCAGACAAATGCAGGTCATGGAGTCTGAGGAACAGCAGGTGAAGATAAACTCTGAGAGGTCAACCAAGATCAGGATGAAATGAAATGTAGTAGCTCTCAAGCCTGCTTTCAGCAATTCATCTATCTGTATTTGTTATAGGCAAATGAATCTACATTTGAGGGGGTAAGCCACCTATCAACTTTGACATGGGTCTATAAGACTAGCTTAGCAATCAAACATGGTTTATAACTGCTTCTCCAAGCCTTTCTAGTGGCCATGATTTGCAGCCTTCTGAAACAGAATTTTGACCAAAGTATTCTGTTCCATGAATTCTCTACTAAATTGACATCATATGGCCAATAGCACCATGTCAGCATCTCAAACAAGGTAGCTATGACTTAAGGAATTTCCCCTTTAGAAAGCAAGACATACTCTCCTTTTAACTTATATGTGTACCAGTAGGGCATTTCAAGATCTGCCAGCTCAACTCCTTTTCTTTAATATGCTCACTTATTTAACAAATATTCATGGAAAACTAACTCTGTGCCAGATTAGGTTCCTGCTCTCAAGGATTTACAATGTAGTAGGTGGATATAAGCACTGAATAATAAATTCATAAGTTATTTCAAGGGTAGTGAGCATTGAAGAGCAAACAGGCATGGTAACCTATTTACTGGAGGGATGACTTGGAATTCAGTTTTGGATGAAGACAAAGTGCCACACGCAAGAAAAGCAATGACAGTAAAATTATAGTGAAAGAGAATGACATGTGCAAAGGTCCTGACATGTATAAGAATGATATATTTGATAAAAGCAAGCAGTGAGAGGAAAGAGACTCACAGCAGCTGGGGAGGTAGGAAGTGGACAGGACTCATCAAGGAAGTCAAAAAATTTACCCAGGGCTCAATAGCACTGGAAATGAGCAAACAGGGAGTTGGAACAGATGTTACAGATAAATAGAATTGACGATGTACCAGACAGTGGATCCTGGGGAGCAGTAACATTTGAGCAGTAGAAAGAAGAGGGGCAGCTCTTGAAATAGGCAGAGTTCATAAACTCAAATGCCTTCAGGGGCAAGGCAGGTATCAGAAATGAATAAAGCAAGGCTAAGGTAAGGCAATCATGGGAACTGTATGGACAAACAGAATGAGTTGACATGCCTACAAGTGTTCAGCTTCATTAAAAATGCTTTGCAGGAAAAATAAACTACATCATTAAAAATACTTTGCAGGTAAGAATAAAATACACCAGGAGGCAAGCAGAGGCCACAAACCATCAATATGTAATACCGAGCTGCAGAAAAAACAAGAAGTATATTGGAATGAGAAAAATCAATAAAGAGGGGTCTAATAAAATTCAAGAAAGAGTTATGTGCTATATTATCATGAGTGAAAGAGAAAAGCATATTGTGTTAGGCAGAAGCACAAGTGCCCTAAGACTAATAGCAAACAAGCTCTATTTGTTGCAGAACTTACATTACCTCGAAATGGGTTAATAATCAAATGGGCCAGTTCTTTAAAGACAGGAATCACAAAATCTGGTGTTCTATGCAATGACTAAAGGTAGACATCATCATGAACAATCATAACGATCCATTCTGCAAGGATGGATCCAGGGATAGGAAGCTCATCCCCTTAGAAGCCATTCTAAACGCTGACAGGCTTTTGTCAAAGACCTGATGCGTGGAGCTGTTATCTGCCTCCTTGTTGTCTAATGGTTCTAGCCACATAGAACACATTTATATGATTTTTCTTCTGCCAGCCCTTCAGATATTTAGAAAAAGGCTGTCATTACTTTTCTTCTTGTAGATTGTCTCTTCTTCAGACAAAACATCTCTACAGTCAACTACTCTCAAAATCTTTGTTTCTACAATCTGCCACCCCATCAACCTTTCTGTGAACCTTCTCCAGCTTGTCACCATCCCTCTTAAAATAGGGTCTTGAAAGAATACAGTGTTCCCAACTGGCTTATAATCTAGGACTTCTTTAAACATCAATTTCTCTGTCTGAAGTGGCAGGTATACAATGATGTTTTATCAAGCTCATGTTGTCTCAAACTTCTACCCTCTACCTTCCAAAGTTGTCTCTTTGATGTTGTAAACAGATGCATAATCCAGAGGGAGCATTCCAATCAGTATAAATTCCAATCAGTATAAACAATGCTATTCCTTCATGACTTCCTTATTTCTGATTGAGATCACTCCATCTAATGTACATTGTGTCTGTACCAATAATGCCTGTGTAACACATCAAGGTACCCATGTCTCTTTCTATACAGGATCTTACTGTGTACTCAAACTGCAGAAGCATTTCTGTACAAAGAGAAAGATGAAAGAGAGAATGAAGGGCTCAAAGCAGAGGGAAAATTAGAAATTTGGTCCTTGGAAAGAGTGCTGGATGCAAACATCCAATGGCCTAGCTTTGGATCTGGGCTCTCCACTTACTCACTATTGCTTGTTTTAAAAAATAATAATAATAAAATTACCATAATAAGAACAGAGAAATGCCCAGGGCAAAGAAAGCTCTGAAACAAGCTTTTCAGTTATAGTTTGTCATTCGATACACGTGATAATCTTTTGTTATTATGTCCTATTATCTCCATTTTTAAGATAAGAGAATTAAAATAAAGAGGTTAAGTGACTTAACCAATGTCACATAGAAGATAGTAGGTGGCACTGAGATGTTAACTACTTGGTCTGCTTCCATAGTTCAATCTATTTAATATCTTATATGACAATCTCTTTTAGTGTATATTATCCATACAAGATTTGACCTACTTGTTGAGAGAAAATAAAAAATAAAGAAAACTGCTGAGGTGAATGTTATTTTGAGATGCCCCTTTGAGTGTGTGGATAGTAGGAACACATGTTATCTCACCTATAGGATTAGACCTGCCTTTGAGCATGTACTCAAAGGCAGAAGAATAAGAAAGGAGAGAAAGGCCACACCCACCATAGTGTTGGATGCTATGTCTTGAACTGGGCTGCCATGTATCCACAGAACTTTTGTCACAAGCATATTTAGAACACAAAGTTTCAAGGTGACTCTTCAGCCTAAGAAATCTGTGTGCAAGCACTATTCATACCACTTTAGCAGTATTCACTTATATGAATCATGCGCTAATTTATTCATGAAAATAGCCTGTACTTGGCAACATTCTATTAACCTTAGTTTGTGTTAATAAAATCAGTACTTGTATCTTTTAATGCAATTCTTTATAATTAATCTATAATTCTGATGTTCTTCCAAGACAGACTAAGCCCCTACCAAGCCCAAACTGCCTTCTACATTCAATGATTTCACATTATGCTAATACAGAATACAGTTTTGTAAACTGCAATCTGTATGAGAACCATTATCCACACCTTAGCAATGTACCAGAAACTCCTGAATATTTTCCTTTACTTAATCAATGGTTGATTTCTTAGTGTCTTTGAAACCTACTGGACCAGAATCTCTGGGAACAAAATCTGGGAACAGAGATTTGTTGTAACTGCTTGACAAACCAGCACTTGGATACCAGTGCTAAGTCTATTTTCACACCCTACTGAGTCCACTGCAACTCTTGGAAAACTAAGGAAGCACAAGATCATAAGGAGCGTCCTAAAGACATGATAACCAGTCACTTAAGATGATTCAGAGTCCTAGAAAAACAGTAAGATTCTTCATTAACTGCCAACCTCTTGTTCTAATGACCAGATATTGCAAAGAATCCCTAAAAATGCATGGATTCTGACACCTGACAAATCAGGAAGAAATAATCATATAGTTATACATGGTAGAGCCACATCATAAAAAACCCAGTTGAAAATCATTTTCACAGGTTTAGAACAGGAGTGCCAAACAGAGGGCTAATATGGCACCTCTTTCCTATTTGACACTCACAGCCAAAAACGCTAATGAATCCCAGCAATTTTCCACAATGGATCGAGAAACAGCCTTCAAATCCTTTTCAACCAAGCACTTCAGGGCACTAGGGCCATTTTACAACCCTTACCACATGGGAAACACATTTTCCTACCCTGGCTAGAATGAGTCGGTCAACTGAATCACCTATTTTCTACCCCTCCTGACTTCGTTGATTGCTATTTGCTGTAGTTGCACATGATATCTTTGAATGGGATCATCCAACAATGAGTTACCTGCTACAATGTTGAAGATACATAGGCTATACTCATATTAATCAAACCAATATAGTTTCTGTCAATGATAATTCAACATCCTATTTCAAATACATGCTACTTGGAATGACAAGCTGAGTTCCACAGTGTGTTAAAAATTAAATGTAGCATTTGACTTAAAGAATCATCAATCAAATGGCTTGATTTCCATTGGCAGCAATATAGATTGTTCTCTAGAGACTCTGGACCAAATCTCCACACAAACCTTCAGAGTTGTGGTAAATGACAAGGCAGAAATCATAAAGATACTTGGTTCTACTGGGTTTCATTTGAAAAGGAAATCATTATGACCCATTTGTCTTGGCCTCTACGGCTACTTCCCAGGTTGCTGGGTGGAATCCCATTTAAGACCATAGCCAAGGTGAAGCCAGATTGATTTGGTTGATTTCATCAAACATTAAGCTCCTATGATCAAACAATAAGCCCCTGTGACAGGCTCTGTGATCAAACAATAAGATCAGAGAGAGCAGGCTCACCTCATCATAGATGCTGTCATTCCTGCAAAAGTCTCCAGCCTTCCTGGGAAGAATGTGGACATGGACGTGCTGAAAATGTACAAGAAAGAAAAAAAAATGCAGCGTTATTATCTCCCCATGTATTTCTAGACTTGACAGTGATGCCTTCATGAAGTCCAATTCTTCCACACTTGTTCCTCTTGGATTATTTTTCAGAGGAATATGATGTTCACCTTCAGTAACTGTGTCTGAAATCTGCTGAGAGAGAAGCAGAGAAAAACATAGTGCCACATTTGAGAGTTGGAGTGGAATGCCACAGTGTTTTTGGGGCCCTGTAGAATTATTCATAGTTGTCAGTCTTAGTTGTATTTAGTCAGTGTTTTGAAATGACAGTGCATTATAAAAGCTGACCATTGCAACTCTGAAAATGACAAGTAAGAACTGACTTACAGAGAAGTGCCTAAGTAAAAAGTAAATGACTGAGAGGAAGAAGCATTGGGGTTAGAATTACAGCACCAGGATGATGAATAGCAATCACATGATATCAAGATAAGCAGTTCTCATTTATTAAGATTTTATGCTAAGTCAAGCTCTGTGCTTGATATTACTTCCTTTAATACTCCACTCTCATGAGACAAGTTCTACTATTATCTCTATTATTCAGATAAGGAAATCGATGGTCAGAGAGATCAACCCCCCACAGGAAGTGGTAGTCAGCACAGGCAGTAAGGTCTATTGGCTCTTGTTCCCACGTTCTTAATCCGCACATAAATTGATTCTGTGAACTTAATCTTTACAACAGCACAATTCTCTCATCTACCAGAGTATCCAGGTAATATACATAGTAATGTTATTATACTGAGATTGGGAATCAGGGCTTACAGCATATCTAATTCAATATATTCTTCAAGGCTAAACTGCCACTTGAAAGTTTTCCTTTTCAAATAGCCTTTATTGTACCTTAGCTCAAGTTAAACCTTATTTCTGCCCTTCAGCTATATTCCGTGTTCATTACAAACCATTGAGAGGAAAGGGAAAATGAAAAGCCTACATGTGGAGAGGCAGACAAAGAATCAAACCTCATCCCTGATAGCATCCACCCCTTCTTGATGGCTGCCATGGGGCTGCAAGCCTCTAAAGCACCTCCAGAGAATGTAAGATTAAGTGTCCCTGTGGCTTTGCTATACAGGGAGGGAAAAACAATCTGCTATGAAAGCAGAGGCACGGGGCAGGGCAGCCAAAAGTGAATGAAGCAGACAGGAGCTTTGCCTCAGTCCCTAAGCACATAGACCCCAAAGGCTGAAAAGCTTAAGCCAGAATATGCTCCAGTCAGTGATAAAGCCAGTTACGGATCTGTCAGCAACTGGGGCAAGTGCATACTTAAGTCCCAAGGACTTTGAGAGCACAGGGAGAAAGGGAGGGAAAATAAATGAACTAGGAAAAATGAAATCTACCCACGGAACAAAATTCCTTGGAGAAAGCCAATGAATTCTAAGAACAGGTTGTCTTAAAACTAACATCAGAAAAATATGAGATACCCCAGCCTTAGAAGCAGGCTTCCTCACGGAATCTGTACTTTCAAATCTGTCTTTTATTCTTTACCTTTTACTTGCTTTTTTCTTCTTTTTTCCTATCTTCCTCCCACTTACCCACCCAGCCAGCCATACATCCATCTACCCATTCATCCATCACCTTCCTATACTTTCTAGTAATCACTTATTACAGAGCAATGCACTGCAGTCAAAGTGCCTAGTGAACATTCTTACTACACGTTTAGATGTGTGGTCTTGCCTCAGAAGGTCTGTATCTTGGTATTACTGTTTATGAAGGGGACTGCAATAATTCCTGTATTACAGGACAACTATCTCCACAACAACTATCTCCACAAATGCCCAAAAATAAATGGAGCAACTCAGCAGACAAGAATAAGGAAGACAACATGATGCCTCCAAAGGAACACACTAGCACTTCAATACTAAAATGTGAACACAAAGAGACTGAAGAAATGCCGGAAATGGAGTTAAAAAAATTGATCGTAGGATTACTTAGAAGCAAATCCATGAATTAAAGAAACTGATACATGACATGACATGAATGAACATTTTTCCCATGAAATTGAGATTTAAAAGAGAAATAAAAATGAAATATTGGAAATGAAGAATTTAACAGATCAAATTTTAAAAATGCAGTAGAAAGCCTTAACAACAGACTCAATGAGTCAGAAGTAAGAATATTTGATAAGAGAAATCTCTTGAAATTTTACAGTCAGACCAAAAAAAAAAAAAAAAAAAGAGAGAAATTAGAAAGCTAAAAAACTGTTGGAGATTTATGGATACTATCAAATGACCCAATATATGGGTCTTAGGAGTTCCTGAAGACGTGGAGAGAGAGAATGGATTAGAAGGTCTTTTTAATGAAATAATTACAGAAAACTTGCCTAATTTGGATAAAGAAAGTGTTGTCCAAGTAGAGGAAGCACAAAGAACTCCTAATAGACATGACCAGAAAAGATCCTCACCGTGACACATTGCAGTCAAACTCTCCACAGTAAAACTTAAAGAAAAGATTCTCAAATGTGCATGGGAGAAACACCAGATTACTTTCAGAGGATCTCCAATTAGACAAACAGCTGACTTCTCATCAGGAACCTTATAGGCTAGGAGAGAATGGCGAGATATATTCCAAGTCTTAAGAGAAAAAAACTGTCAACCCAGAATACTGTCCCCTGCAAAGCTCTCATTTATGAATGAAGGAGAAATAAGGACCTCCCATAACAACAACAACAACAAAAAATTGAAAGAATTAGTCACCAATTGTCCAGCCTCCCAAAAATGCTTAAGGATGTGCTACACACAGAAACATGGTCATCACTATGAAAAAATGTGAAAGCAGAATATTTCCCAGTAAAAGTATAAAGGAAATCCAGAGTAAACAATAGGAACAGTTATGGAAAAATGGCAGGGAATTGAACTTATTCTAGTTTTTCTTCTGTAGTTCCTTAAATTTCAGAATATCCTGTTTCTGGGATCTAGCTACATATTAAGACAATCTGTTTTTGAATCTTTTTAAAAAGAATACATTGATTATAATGGACCATCTTTCTTTCCCTTCTCTTATTAAATACAATTTGTGTGATTACAGTGTTAAGTCTTAGTTCTTATGTCTTTGGGCAGAAGAGTGTATCAGTTATTTTAAATGAAGTTTTCCCTTGTTTGAAGCTCAGTCTGTAAATGTGTTGTTGCCACTAAAGAAAACCTTTGGGTTTGCATTATTTGAGTACTTGAAAACTGAAAGTGGTAAGATACATTATGTAATGAATTAGGTTTTTAGTTCTGGATGAAATTAGAAATGAAATAAAGATATGAACTGCTTAAAGGATGAAAAAATAATGATAGTGCTCATAAGCACTGTGAACCCATTTGTGTTTGAGGCATTCAAAATTCAAGTGTTTACTAGATTTTTCTAAAATTCTGCTCTTCTTTTCTGTGCTTCATGCATTTATTCTTATTATTAATGTTGTAAAACAGCAGGGTTAAAGTGTCATTAGATCTGTATTCATTATGAATCCCACAGCTTTTCTAGTTAGGAGAAAAATAGTCTCAAAAATACTCTTAGTGTCATTTTTTTGGCTAATATTTTACCCACTAATGGTATTTTAGATACCCTTAATCATTTTAATAAGGTATCTATAAAAATTTAAAACATTACATATTGTATTTCAACTACTTAGTGAAGAGTAAAAAAAAAATCTAGCTTGTTGAGACTGTAGATGTTCCATTAATTAAATTTCAAAATTTTTAATAAAGGAACCTTCGGAGACAGGTTGAGACCAGACAGTATCCATTAAACTAGCTTCTGTGATGCGGAAAGGAACCCCAGAAGCAGTGCAGGACGTGTGAAGATCATTTACTTGCCACGGTTGTGGTTGTGGTGAGCTCCTACTTAAACAGAGGTAGTGACACACTGACATTTTTGTTGCCCGATAATCTGGAGTAGTGTCCTGCATTTATCTGTACTAAAATAACTACAAATTAATGGAATCTACAAAGAAGAAACTTTATAAGTGTAGTGTATTTGGGAGCCTCGGTACAGCCAGGTCAAGTTCTGGAGACCTACTGCTAAATGCTTCCCTGGCTTCGTGTGCTCTGACCATCCTCCTTGCCTTGTCTTTCGGGACATGCCTGCTACCACCCACTCCTAACACACGGCTGTCTGTAAACTGACATTAGGGGAGCCTATTGAGTCCAAGGCTGTCCGTGCCCCCTTCTCTTTTCCTTGTTTTTCTGTGTTTAGTGACAAGGTCTATCTCTATAGGCTCTGTTACCATCCAGTACTGGAAATGCCACTCCTGATCACTGGCAACCACCAGAAACCCACTGTGACACTGACGACTGTAAATAATTCACTGTAAAGGTGATTTTTCCCAAGGGCAGAGATCTCAACCCAGCCCGCTATCTTGACATGAATTCTTAAGTGACAGGCTGATCACCACCCTGACAACACACTCAGCTCCTCAGAACAGGCAAATCATAAGAAAGCCAGCTAGAAGCCTCACTGTGAGGAAGGAATACATCACCATGGCTTTCCAATAGATTGGCATTCTGGAAAAAAAAAAAAAAAACTATGAATAGCAGGGATGGGGATGATATGACATAACTTTTACAGAGTGATTTCATATTAAGTCTGGTGATCACAATTTAGTTTTCTAAGTGCTAACACAACATTGATTTCATAAAGCATTCCACAAATTTGCTAGAGATTGCAGTTTACCACTGCTTGAGTAGAAGAGTATATTAAAACGTTCCATGACACATCCCATACTACAAACGTTTTCACAAATAACATTTCACAATGCTTATTAGCAGAGTAAAGTCTGAGCTTGTCTATACAAAAGAGACTTTTCCAAGTTTGCCTAAACGAATAGTGCAGAAGCTTCCTTGATTATGGAGACCCAGCTTTTTCGTCATACGATGCTTACGTATGCTTTTAAAAACAAGTGTTGTTCATAAATGTATATTGCCAGCTGCTATTCTTTCAAGCAACAAGGGATACAGTGATGAAAAAGACACAACTCTTGTCCCCAGAGAGCT